TGCACTGCATCTGTAAGGCTCCCCTTCCCCACTTGTTTTGAAACCCAGGATGAAATCAGAATGATCACTTGCTGTCCTTTTCTTTCTTGCAACATTATGCAAAAGGTTGGAGCTTCTCCTTGCATAATTTCTATCTGGTAAATTAAGTTGCAACCCTGTTCCCCCCAGCTTGCTTTTTAGTTCACGTTTTCCCTGAATAATTGCATGAAACAAACTTTGCTTTGAGGTTTGATTACCAAAAAAGTATTAACTACCTGAAATGTAGGTTTATCTCACGTAACACAAGCCATACATTGAACTAATCAGAGAACAGAAATAGCAGAATTACATTATGAATTCAGACAGCAACATATTTGCAAGTATAGATTTCCTTTCAACAAATATTTTGCCATATTTGCTTAAAAGGGACAACTTCAGGATTTCTACCAACGAACTCATAAAAAGCAGACCTTATGGCTGCAGCTGCGGACTTTGCCACTGCGAATACTCTGCAACGTGTACGTGTATCCCTGCGTAAGTACAGTACAACAGGTCACTCCCTGCATAGAGGTTTTTAAGTGCAAGAGTCAAGGCATTACTGCTGCCAGTATGGAAAGCAAATCCTACCATCTTTGATCCGGGGACGCTGTAGGTTGTGCATCTGACGCTGATGTACACAGCACACTGGACACCAGCGAGCTCTCAACCGGCGTGGCTTAGGGAAACTTGGTAGCAGCCCTTTCCCCTTGTATTCCTTCTTATTTGTATATGTTGTTTCCCATCTGCTATAGTGCTAGGCAGGCTAAAAAACAAAGCAAGTGTCCAAGTGCAACAAGAGCTGCTAAACTTCTGTGCTTCAGAAATGAAGATCAAGAAAGGAAAACCTCAAGAAAATGCAAAACTACACTTCAACCTGGATTTTGGTTCCAATCAGATCAAGAAATGACCCCTACCTGTTCCCCGGCGTGGCTTTTAAGCATTCAAAGCACAAACTCCTGGTATACTGCCTGAAAAGCCCAGGCATGAAGTTTATCCTTTAATTTGAGGCTTTGTCATTTGACCGGGGGGAGGTAATCAGGACAAGGCTCTGGACCATGCTGCTCAAAATATGACAACAGACACACCAAAAACCCAAGATGGCTGTGTGCAGCAATTAAAGTAGTGTTTACTATTCCATGACAGTTAACATGTTGGACTGACCTTTCATTTACTGTTTAGTACTGAACATTAAGCTGCAAAATTACTCATGCTTTGCATTTAGTACTGGCATCAAAACTAACAGCACTAGATAGCTATTCCTACGGCGAGACACACGCTCCCTTTGCCCAGCTGTGCATGTACTATTATAAGCATTGCATTTGATATTTAACATGACTTCCACAGGTTATACTCATCCGTTACCATTAGGAATTATTGGTAACACTGCTCCAAAATGTAAAAAGCATATGCAAAACGTCTGGGGTGACGCAGCTGGTAAAATTATGTCCCTTCCTTACATGCTGGGAGAGATAAAAAGGGAAGGCTGGTGCATGCCCACAGGTCCCCGCAGCAGCTCCCAGACAGATGGCAGAAGTGCAGAAGCTACAGAGGCAAAGTTTCTTTGTTTACTCTCCTTCTGGCTGCTTACAGCAGCCACGTTATGAAGGGAGGCACAAGATGCGTTTCACGAGAGCCTGGCAGCCCAGCGATTGGAATATCCTCTACAAAATTGGCAACTTTCCATTCGACACCCTCGGGCTGAACTTGGGCAGGAAGGACCCGGCGTTTCCATTCCCCGGGGCGATGCTCTCGGGGAGAGTCTACAGATGAACAGAAGAGGTTAAGCCTCCAGCAAAGCACCTTTGCCAGTACGCTTTTGACTGATCTTACTGCCATGACTAGGTAAAATTATGGTTATTTCTACCTTGGCCGTCATTCCTTCGGTCAGACACTTGGCATGCCCAGGGCTCTGCATTTTGACTACAGTTTGGGTTTTTGGGTCACAGGTTGCCCCATCCAGCACAAACACGGGTCTCTTCCATTCACCCCCTGCGCTCTTTCCAACTTCACTTCTGCTGCCATCCTGCTGCGGCCACTGCATCTCAAATACTGATGAACCTCTCTTCCCACCCTTTCTTCACCTCTTGCCTGGAGGCTTTTTCATTACCCATTTCTAAACCTCTATTTGTTTTATCTTTTTTGAGACAGAGTGATGGGCACTGCGAATGGACAGTCTGTGAATACCAGAATAACGTTCAGTTCATATCCAGACCGGAACATTAATAAATACAAATATATTAAGGGATTGCCTGCCATTCATGGGTTTTTTTAATATTCATAGGGGCTATTTATATCTAAATCTCTATTTTCTGTATCGCAAGTGAAGTTATCGGGCTTATTTTCCCCCAGCTCAAATATTCCCATCGCAGATTCAAAAGGGCATATTTTCACCCAGCTGCTCAGCATGCTAATTATGATAGAATCGCTGCCGATTTGATCTTGCCTGTTTCTTTTTTAGTATTTCTAGATATGTTTTGTGCAACCAATATGCCAGCTCAATGATCGAAATTATTATGAGATTGCTGATAGAAGGCAACTCACTGTATTTCAAAAATCAGTCTAATTTCTCCAAGAAAGAAGAAACCTATCGAACAAGGTTGTAATTGTATTTAATGCACATTTTGCTTTTAACAGCAATTTGCCAGTTTAAACAGCACAGACCTTACAATGCTTAATTAGCGAAGAGGTTATAGTGCTTATAAAGTTTTATCTAAAATATACCTTTTTCATTCTCTATAGAACAACATTTTTAACACAGTCTAATGTTATAATTACACATTATACAGTAGCAGCATGTTCACACTACTACAGAGTTAAGGCTGTGTCAGCATTCTTACCATGAACCTTTTTCAGGGTTTGAACACATCAGCCATAAAATTACAACGCAGTTGGAAAAAATATGACAACCAAAATGTGAATCTTGTATCGACTTTAGTCAAATAAGAATAAAAACAATAGAACACATATAATAAAGGACTCCACCCAAATTTATTTTGGATGATTACTGCCTTTGCACAACATGCTTAAAATTTCCAAAATGAAATTTAAAAGAAGTTAGGGGACAGCACAGTCTAATCAGGTTTAGACGAATCTTGAGTGCAAAGTGTTGTAAAAGTGGGTGCCACAGATGCACAATAACCACTTCTCACATACTGCACATTTTAACATACACAAGGCTGCTTCTGTGTAAATATTTAGACTGGCAGGTAAAAGCAGTTCTACCACCAAGTGAATGCTAAAAACTACTCATCTCCAGTTGTATGCACTTATCTGTCACAATGAAAGTAAATTGTTTACCAAGTCTGCACACTGGCTACTGAGGTACCATGTTATTTCCTACAGTTCGGATGAGAAACATCTGAATTTTTATGCCTTTCATGCCCTGATAATTCAAGAGAGACTCATCACGCTGCCCATGAAGCTGAAGCCATTTGTTAAGTAAAGAAAGCGGATGAGGCCAAATACTGCACGGAAAGGGACCCAAGAGCTTCTTCAGTGAAATGCCAGAGCCTGCTTAAGGAAACTCACCCTTAGTTCATGCCCTAACAGTTTCTTGCTTTTATTAATAAAATGCTTCTTATTGCCATATGGTTTGATTAAAAGAAAATCTCTAGTCAGGGTTCTAACTTAAACATGTTCTACATCTGCTTAAAGCAAAGCGCATCTGTAAGTGTTTCCTGAAACACTACCCAATGAAAGTGTGTTTCAGGTGTTGAATTGATGTGGAACCGTAATAAGCTGATGAAACTTTGTGGAGCTGCAGAACCAAGCTCTTTATATATCATTTGCTTATTTATTATTTTTACACTTCCCCATTCAAGAAATTTTCCTTTTGTGACCACCTCTTTCGTTACAATGCTTTTGGAAGCACTTCATTGCATGCTTTTCAGACTTAGAGATAAGCATATAAGACTGGAAGAGAGTTGCCTATTTCAAGCTTCATGTACAATGCATACACACATTTATTAATAAAAACTTGTCTAAACATCTATTTGTTCTTTGGACCAACTCCAGCCTCCCTAGGTGACTGTAACATGTCTTATAAACCTTTCATGGAAGATTTAAAAAATAGTACTTCAAGACAAAAAAACCAAATACATTAAAACATCATCAACACAGAGACAGAAAGGGGAAAATGAAGTGGAGACATCCCATGCCAAATTCACTGCTGGCACAAGGTTAGCAGTGTTCTCTTGAAGTCTGCTTTCTGCCTTCTCGCACAAGTTCTTGTATCTCGTGGTCTTAAAAGGGAGCTGCAAAGCCAAGAGGAAATTCCACGTATGCCCCAAATACGGGTTACACACTAAAATCCTTCTGCTTAAGAAGGGAACTGATTAGCACACGGCCTATTTCAGCTCTCTGTCCCATCAGACTTTCTGTGCACGGGCACCTGTAAAACAGGGGTAACAGTATTTCTCTACCTCAGAAAATTGCTATGAGAACAAATGCATTTATGGTTGCCTGGACCATAGTCACAGCAATAAGGGCTACATCAGTACCTAAAATACAGCCTTGCCTCCTTCTGCCGATCCCTGCAAACAGAGCAAGTAGTAGACAAGAACTAGCAAGAGTAACATTAGTAACGGAGGGTTTTATGACACTATATGGTAGTGGCTGATTTAGTTCAGCAGAATTAAGTTTCGCCATAAAAACTCCCTAATATTCTTTTTTTATAAGGTATCAACACAAGTCAGCTTAAGGGATTGTACAAGAATGACCCAAATTGTATCCTGTTACTCAGCAGAACAAGTAGCTTCAGAACCTGTCTGCATCTGATGATGGTCCACATAAATTCATATACAAACACGTATACTGGTTGTACCAGGGGAAAAAAATAGCAAATGATTTCCAGCCTCAGTTTCCATTTCTGTATTTTGTGATACTGGGCACGTACCACAGACAAATTAAATGCTACAGCAAGAACCCATATGATCCATATTACATTTCCTCACCTGTGATGCCAGTAAGAATGATACAGTGTGTTAACAGGTAGAAATCAGTTACTTACTGCATCAAAGCTCACCTGTAACCCATCAATTTCATAAAGATATTACGGGCTTTCATCATGGCAAGAGAACATCTTCATTCCTAAATTTGAATCCCCTGTCTTTCACTGAGCTATTAAGAACAAATTCCTCAAAACTTTCAAGATAAAGTGAAGCAGAAGTTTCAGCTATAGAAACGTAGTGCAAAGGTTCAGTTTGGCACTGCAACATTACGGACAGACAAGAACTTATGGTAAACTCAGTTCAGACTTGGAAAAAAGAATCCTGTAATTGAACCAATATTGTCAAATGTATTGCATACTATTGTAACTTCACAGTAATCAAAATCAGACATCAAAGTTTCTATAGAAGCAGCAATCACAGATTGCAGTAAAGTATACCACTCAAGGGAAAAAATTGCGTTTTGGCAATTTCATAGTTCCTTACGCTCCTCCAACAGTCATTTGTCAGATATTTTCCTGTTTAAAAGGTGCATATTGTTTCTCCTCAGTCCTCATGAGACTTCTCTGCAATGACTTTGCATTCATACTGAAAAACAGAAGTTGACAAAATTATTAATATTTATTTACATAACTAATGAAAAAGTCTGCTATAAGGGGATTCTTCTACAAAATGGGTGATAAAATAGCTTAGCTTACACTTCACCCAGATAAGTTTGGTCTCCCTAAGTTCTGTGCACACACCATTGGCTGCAATCTCTGTCTCCTTGAGCAGCTGAAAGAGCAGTTCAGACTTACGGGATGGCCTGACTTCTTCCCAAACATGGGAGCTCTTACTTAGCTCCTGGTCCTGAAAGGACTAGAAGTATGCAACCGAGAGTGTACAGAGCAAAGTCATGGGCTGTGCTCTGAATAACAGTACTAACAGCTCACTAACTAGATCAAAGAGTAATGACTACTGATTTCTACCTTACTCTGCATCCACAAGTCAAATAGCTGGTCAGTATATATGAAGGAAGGAATGACATATAGATTAGAACTTTTACTAGAAGGCAATCAACCCCACCTCCAAACTTACCATTGCCAGCTGCCTGCCAATATTGCCCATAGTTATTCCACCAGCAAAAAATATACATGGCAACCAGGAACGAACATAAAGGAAATCTGGAGATGTGTATCTGGAAAAGAACACACATTTTTTGAGTGAAACGTTGTGCAATACACAGAGCCCTCCAATCACATGAGACAAATCCACAAATTTAAATATTAGGACATTTCAACTAAAAAAAGACATGTATTACTGACATTTAATTACTTGCAGAAAATAACAAAGAAAAGTTCTTATTGATTATAATCTCATTTGTTCAACTAAAAAAGCACATTACATTGTTGATAAGGTAGCAATTTTATTGAAATAAGCAACTTCTAGCTAGAAGTCTCACTTACAAACATATAAAAGCTTTCATCAACAGTCCAATTTATGTTACACTCAAAGTTAAGTACTGGCAGCTTGGGAAATCATGTCAAATTTTACCCTTTCAGTTATTCTGATTTTATGTTATAGCTTCAGGAGGCTATCATTTAACCTGAAAGGAGTAAATACTTACTGATAAACTCCATTGTAGACCAGAAGTTGTGACACCAATGTGGCCAGGAAAGCAATTCCTACTCCAAGACCAAAGCCACTTCGTGATCTATCAAATGTCCACCACAGTCCAATTGACAGGGCTGCTAATGTGAGAGACAACTGGATATTGTTGTCAAAATCCACTTTCTGTGTTGATTGTTAAGGATAAGCTTGGAAATATCATACACAAGTGTAAAGCAGTTTTCTTCATTCTGTTTATCATATTTGGCACAACAGAAAAAAATACCATAAAAAATACAGCACTTGCAGTATCAGCTATAACACAGCTATTGGGTATAAGTAAATAAGTCTTGTCAGTGTTGCCAAGGTATCAGGAAACTAAAAACTTATGACACTTCCTCAGATTTTCAGGGTCATAGAACTTACAAGAGTGAAGAGACTATACACCTACCAGATAACGCAGGCGTTTTATACAGACATACAACGCACATGTTACTGTTCAGAGTAAAGGCATCTCACCCACACCTGACCCTTTATTACACTAAGCATGAAATCTTAAATCCAGCATTAGACTCCTCTAAATGACAAGGATTTACTGAAAAAAAGGTATTTGTCACTCTTACTTAATTGAAATTTTGTTTAATTTACATGCTAGTTTACATTTAGCTAAACATTAAAAATGTTGTTCTATAAAACAGTATGTAAATAATATTACTGTGAAAGTACTCATGTAAATGAACATTGCAAATCAGTTTTGTCAACTCTGTGATAAAAGTGTGAAGTCACTCCAAATAGTAGTGTTTCACATTCTTCAAAATGTTTTGGAAATACTAATGCATCCTCACTGCTCCTGTGCAAAACAGATTATTAAAAAGCAGGCTGTCAAGTTTCATAAGCCTGAAAGTGAATTTATGGGATGACAACATAAAACCCTGCCCTATTTTCTCACAAAGACCTGGAGAGAGACCTAGAGGAAATGAAAAAGAAGTTCAACTAACTGAAATAAGTAATTACAGCATAAAAATCAATAGCATCAGAAAAAATGTCAAGCAAAACCAAAAAACACACCAAATATGGTAACGTGCAGAACTGGTAATAAGCTGAAAAAAAAGCAGTCTGGAGAGCTGTCAAGGAGGAAATACAGACAGTACATTAATGATGTCCTGGAATACGTGTAACAGCTGTTAGAAAACTGCAAGAAGGTTTGCTGTAAATAATCTGACCCACGCAGAGAGAAGCTGTCAATTCTCTTGTATTTCTTAAAAGCAGCGAAGCAGCATGTGCTTATACAACAGGTACAGTCCAGGTCAGCGAGAACCACAGGACCAGATTAATGCATCTTTGGCAAGGAGAGCAAGCTTTGCGAGGGACAGCGGCAATGAGTCTGAACCTTGGCAGCTCCAGCTCATCCGGCCATACTGGATAGGATGGCTGGTGGGAACAAAACCAAACAACAACAAAACCCATCCAAGGGCCAAGCCACCACAGTAAGAAATGAGCCAGCTCACATCTTTTGCTTAACTTGCCCTCTTTTCCTGGAAATGAGGAGATTCAGTAGCACACAATCAGAATTTCTTAGCATGGATTCTGCAAACCATGTTGGAGCTGACACTGAAGGAGAGTTCCAGAGATGATCAACCTTCTACTTACTTTACAAGAACCCAATTGTCACAGACAGATCCTGGTTCTACCTGACAGATGAGTCACTAGACATGACTACACAAAACCACTAAGACTCACAGCACTGCCAGTAAGGTGTGTCAGTTGACATGAAAAACACCATCACCCAGCACATCCCCAGCTGCTTCAGAGGGAAGGGATGCCAGTTTTGAGCACACTTGTGCAAGGATGTACCTGAATAGCTACACAATTAGCAGGAGTAGAATGTACATGTACAGTACATGCTGACTGACTTCTAATTGCTCTTACTGAATGACCACAGGAATGGCAACTACTCTCTCAGCATCAAGGCATCATTTGCAGAATGGCGTAGCAGTGCTTACTTGCTCTGTGTAGTCCAGGGTATTACCTGGTCCTGACTTTTCCCCATTCTTTGCAAAGTGCATGTCCTACACTGATGACCTCAAGACTGGGCTTCAACCTCTTACTACAGTGGTAAAAGGACATCAACCCTTGGAATGTCTTAAAGCACTTTTCTGTAATACCTACCATATAAACATTGCCCTCCACTTTAATTATTCAAAGAAAATAAAGACTAGAAGTAAAAGAAAGCCCAATATTGAGACATTTCTAACAAAAAGGTTTTTCAGAATGAAAAGACATGAGACTTATCACCTCCAATACCGCTATGACAGTTTAACACTAACACATATTCTCCATTTCCTTTGCAAAAATGCTGCTTGTTTTATCTTAAACAACGATTCACCATGACTGACTATGTGAGCTTTGTTTTAGTGGAAACCCATTTGTTATCACCAATTTCATTAGAATATAGGATACAGCGCTGGCATGATTTATTCCCACAAAGACAGCTACACATCGCATTACACTGGACCATTCTCTCTTAAATTTATGTGGCTCTCCCAGATGTCTGTCCATGCACGGGTACAATAACCCAATCACAGCTGTGGAGACAGGAAAGAAAAAAGGCCCTGAAGTTAAAGCACTGGCAATATTTAGCTAAAATAAAGACTATCTAGACTTTGACAATTATTGTGACTACCAAAACAGATCTTTTAAGGATAAACAGTACAAAACATACATTGCAAAAGAAGAGGAATTTCAAACAATTTCATGCTTTAAAAAAGCCCTGTAAACTTTCAGCAGCATCTGCAACCACTGCAGCAGTGACCCGGCAGAAGTAGCAAAACAGAGACAATGTGAACTAGGGGCAGAGGATGAAAGAGCTCTGCACCCTACCAAAATCTGCAGTCTTACATTATAGTTCAAAAAGAGCAGTAACAGTTCGCAGGCTGGCACTTTTGAAAATCCCACGTATCAAACATACATGTTTAAATAACTGCAAAACAAACACACCACAATAAGGGCAGAGTGGGGTTTATAACATCAATATTTTGCGTCATCTTTTGTTGTTGTTACAAGCAGTTTTTGTTTGGATAATGTTTTTCTCTTCTTCAATGCTAGTATAAAGGCTCACACAGAAGAGGGAAAGCCAAGAGCCTATGGTAGCTTTTGAATACAGAAAGCAAACAGGACTTTCAACCCCAGGGAACTGCTATGCTCTTTGAACATTTCTTCATAAACGTGTTCTCTACCACAACTGTAGCTGAAAAGACTGTTACCAACACAGCTGAGGAGTAACACTGGTGCTTAATGTTAAACTGGTGCTGCAGAAGGGGGGCAGAGCCTGAGTCATCGGTACAGACTCCCGTGCCCTCAGTCTGGCATGCTGTTCGAGGTATGTTATGGCAAATGCTCTTTATTCTGCCAGAGGGGAAACTCATCCCCAGGATTTGCAAAAATAAATCACCAGTAAAGCTGGAGAGGAAAAAAAACCTCCCTGAGCAATTTTCTTGCCAAAGGCGTTGGGCCAAACTGATGACTAATAACGGTGATGGATGAAAGGACTTCTCTGAAAGCAGCCTCGATCACCACTGATTATAAATATGCAAAATACCTTTATTCTGTTCATAATAATAAACCATACTGCAGAGAAATGTTCATGTCAATTCCAGGAAGGCTGTGCAAGTATGAACGGTAAGAAAATGGGTGAATTATCAACATTTACCACAGAGGTTCCTTGTATATACGCTAGCAGAGAAGATAACAAAAGAAAATGGAGAAGAAAAGACTGATAAGGAAAAAGAAAGAACTCGAACACCTCAACAGGGGTCACTCCTGCTGGGAAAAGCCAATTAAGGCACTAACACCTTTAAATCAGGTGGCTTAAAAATCAAGTAGTGCAAATACCTAGCAGGTGACTGACTAGACCTCACAAGCCATATCCAGTCTTTCCATCAAAACCACCAATCCATCAGAACCAGAAAGGCCCACAAGTTTCTTCTGAGACGATGGCAAGACCTAGCCTTCACAACTTCCCCACGCACAGCTGCAGACAGTGTTCTCAAATGGCTCAAGAGAGCATAAGGTGTGGCCTGATGCAAACACCTGCCAGTGCAAACATTATAGTGAACACTGCAGACCTTAGGCATGGCTGCTGCAAGTTGGGATTCTGTCATTTCAACCCCCACTACTCCATATATAAAAGATCAAACCTTTACCAGACATGTTTAAGACAATCAGTTTAAAGTATGAAAGAAAACTACAGCAAATGCAGGATACAACCCAATAACTAATGCACAATCTCAGCAGGATAACAGAAAGAGGACTAAGACAGCTAGCAGATAAAGCAGGTATGTAACTGCCACCATAATACTCCAAACACATTTCCACAGTAGAACAAAACTGACAGGTTCAGAAAGATATTCAGAGGGTTTCCTTTCAAATCAAGGTCCTCTATGACATCCGGGGTGTAGTATTTCAACAAAGTATCAAAAAGAAAGCAATTAGATGACTAGGAAAAAAAATAGACAAATATTATCATTAGCAAAACAGTGACGCCAACTCAAAAGCTAGTTTATTGACTCATATTAATACACAGAAACGTGAGCTTCTCAATCTTATTAAAACTGACCTCTAGGAATATACTGCCTTTACTGTAAAGGTTCACTAAAGCAGAATCCTCCAGCACTGGCTGCTAAGAATATTCCCTTAGTAAAGTTTAAAACTGACCCATGGGATCAGTGATCTTGAGAGCCAAGTAGAAAGCCAAATTCCATCAGACTTGTAACATGGAATACGTCTTGATACTTGAAGATGAAAGAGGAGGAAAAAAAGGGGTATTTCTTACTACCTACAGTAGACATCTCACTTAAACTAGGTAAACATGCAAAAGACTCAACTCCCTACCCGGTCACGGGAGAAATGGAGCACGTTCACATCATCCAACTTGATAGATGAATCTAACTGAGGTGCTCTGTTCTGCAACGTGCCTCTGCAATGGCAAACTTCTTGCCTGGCCTCAACAACCTGAGACACAGTCAGGTCTCCCAGCTTTACAGAGCTAAAGCAGTACCTCGAACTGGAATGAGGAACAAGTGGAAAGCTGGACCACAAAAGGGAGCATAACTCAGGGTGGTTTGCTGCGCTCAAAACAAGGTACTGTGTGCTGCACAATCTGACACTTCCAGGTTATTTTCAAGGGCTGCCTGTAGAGCACACTCCTGTAATCCAGCCTCAAGGTTACAAGTGGCACCACCTTCTAAAGTCTGTTAAAATTGTACTCTAACCCAGCAGAAAAAGCAAAGGTTGTGCTCTGCTAACAATATGACACTATAACAAGTTAGCAGAACAACAATTTCTGGACACATGCATGCATATTTGTGTATACACGGGGAGATAAGAAGGAGAGTAACAGCTCGGAAAGGGCAGCAATGCTGGAAGAGAAATTTTTATCTTCCACACGTTTCATATAATTTTTTATAACTACCTATCCACCCTTTCATCTCCATGCCAGGCATACATACACATCTGAACTTACCTGACGCTGTGCCACAGCAAGGTGGTACCCACCAAGCTGAGGAGAAGATGCTTGTGATCACATCAGGGGGGAAGAGAGTAACATTTCTCTGGATCTGAAGCAAGTTTAATACTAATGCAAGAAATACGCCAATAAAAAACAGCACTATACCACGAATTACCAAATTC